ACTGTTTTGAAGGATAGGAAAACCGAGGTATTTCCCAAAGGATTTGCTTACAGTAAGATTGAAATCTTTTGCAAACTCTTTTGTTATGGGGATGAGACAATTGTTGGAGAAGATTATTTTAGATTTGGAGTAATTGATGTTTTGGCCAGATAATGAGCAAAAGAAGGAGATACTTCTCTTAATGGTAGTGCAACATTTTTTGTTGACTTTGGCCATGAGTGTGAGGTCATCTGCAAAGAATAAATGAGAGATACCCTGATTGTTAGGGTTTAGATAGATTGGATCCCAATTGTGTGTATCAACTTGGTGACAGATAAGCTTTGAGAACATTTTCATACACAGGATAAATAAGTAAGGGGAGAGGGGGCACCCTTGCCTGATACCTCTACTTGGACTAAAAAAGGGTGTGACTGATCCATTGACTAGGACTGCAATTTTGCTTGTAGTTACACAATGGATGATTAATGAAGATATAGTTGGAGGGAATTTGAAGAATTTAAGCATTCTATAGATGAATAACCATTCTAGGCGATCAAATGCTTTTTCTAAGTCTAGCTTGAGCATCATGCTATATTTCTTACCTTTACTTCTTTTGAATTGGTTCATTATTTTTTGAATTATAATAGCATTGTCACAAGTCCTCCTTCCTTTGATAAAACTTGATTGAAAAGGACTGATTAGATCATTAAGAAAATGCTTTAATCTATTGGCAATAATTTTGGTAATAATTTTGTAGATAGTGTTGCATAAACCAATAGGCCTAAAGTTTTTTAGATTATTGGCATTATGAAATTTAGGAATTAGACAGATATAAGTGTTATTAGTATCCTTTGGGAGAGTGTTGGCACGAAAAACCTGTAGACAAAGTTGTATGACTGAGGGACCAACAGTTTTCCAGTATTTGTGGTAGAAAAAAGGGTGGATACCATCTGGCCCCGGAGATTTGAAAGGCTTGAAGGAAAAAAAAAATGGCATTTGTTATCTCATGGGGCATAAGAGGGTTATCAAGGGAATCTAAGTTAACATTACTAAAGGTAGTTGCACTAGAAGTAATATTCAGCCAATTGGTACGAAGATGAGAGGTAGTGAATGCCTTGAGAAAGAAGTCATAGGTGTGGTTGATGATTTCCAAAGGATCATTTATCCAATTTCCCTCCTCATTTTTAAAGTAGGTTATTTTGTTTCTCCTTTTTTTATTGGTTGCCATAATGTGGAAAAATTTAGTATTAGCATCACCGTCCTGGACCCAAGAGATTCTAGCTCTTAATTTCCAATAGTCTCCTCAATTCTTAGGTAATTATTATACTCCGCTTGAAGAGATTTTTCAAGGTTTTCAATGGCTTTCGTTTTATATATTAACCTTATTCTTACAGTATTTATTCCAGATTAATCATCATCATTTTTGCTTAGAAAATATCTTAATTAATTTGATCTTTTCCATACTTTTTCTTGATGGAAAAACTAAATAGGAAATCGTACAAACTTTCTGCCGAAAGAGTTTGACTTTCTTTCACATGATGTGATAAAATCACTAAAATTTCAACGAATACTAAATATGGAACCCGTAATTTCATTAATGCAAGGAATTTTGTTGTAGGAACCTTAAAATCTGAATTCTTCAGAGTTTTTTCTACACCATCAAGACAATATATATGACATGCAACAACAGGTAATTAATTGTCTATAGTGCTATTTTGACTACCTACAAAACAAATCAAATAACCTTTTATAGCCAATGAAAACACTTGATACTATAAATATAATTTACACAGTCTGTATAGGGCCGGGCATAATTTGGTAAATACCGAATTATCGTACCGAAATCGAAAATTTTGTATTTGGTACACGGTATTTTGGTATTTGGTATGGTATTTTGGTTTAAGTTTTTAAAAAGATTGGTATTAGGTATGATATTTGGTATTTTAAGATAAAATACCGACATAACGACACCGTACAGAAATATATATTATATTACACAAAACATATATTATCAATTGTAACATAAATATAAAAAATCTAAAATTTTACTTTCCTTTATTCTCAAAGTTCATCATTTAACTCTAAACAAGTAACAAGACATTTCTAATGATCAAATATTCTTTTATGTACAATTTTCTCTATTTGGGTCGATATTTGCTAGTTTTGGACAAAATTTTTGTGAACAAACATATTCAGTTTTGTGTTTTTGAGTACTTTAATTAAGAATATTAGAGTGTATGACTATATGAACAAGTTAGTATTCAAACCGAATAAACCGAAGTTATCGAACCGAATAAACCGAAACCGAAAGGAGAAAAATCGAACAATACCGAATTTAATTAGGTGCGGTATTGGTATAGGATTTTAAGAAACCGAATACCGAAAATACCGAACCGAAATACTAAATACCGTACCGTACCGACCGACGAACACCCCTAAGTCAGTATATGCAAGTTATTTATTTACAAATCACTATTCTAACTAAAAAATTAGTTGAGGGCAAGTATAGGTTGGTAGCTCAGAAGTTTAGTTGGTATATAGGTTATGTGTATATATAAGTCTTGTACACTCATATTCAAGAACCATTAAATAAAATAATATTTCCAAGTTATACTCTTAGAATGAGTTCTCCTCTTGAGTCAAAATCCTTCTTTTTCATACTGTTTTTGTTATTTAACTACATGCACTTGATAAATGGCTTTACCCTTAGCCCCAAATTTACTGTTGTAATTCGCAATAACCTCCCAAATAACTCTGAGAAATTGAGTTATCGAATTCAGTCTGGAGAAAATGACTTTGGCCTTCGTACTCTTAATGTGAATGGGGAATTTAGTTTCAGATTTAAATGGAATTATTTTGGTACTACTGAGTTCTATTGTCACTTTTATTGGGGTTCAAAGTATCAAATTTTTGATGTATTTAATAATACTTCTCCATGTGCACATAATTATAAAAATGGTCTGTGTTTGTGGGTTGTAAAAGACAGTGGTTTCTATTTAGCTGCTGATAATCCAAATCCATCTCCTGAGGATTTGCATAAAACAGCTGACTGGAAATCTAACATGTTTAACTAAAAATATTATTATTTGAATGAGAATTTTAACTATCTGGATATGCTGAGTATTTATTTTTGCATTTTGATTTCTGTTACATTAATTGAAGGATTTGCGTTTCCTGTTAGATAATTACAATTATGATGGATGAAATAAATCTCAAGGGCCTATTTTCCATGGCTAATCCTCCATTTGGTGATCTTGATAATTGGTCATCCTCCAAGTTTTGTTAAAATTAACAGATCCTGTTAAGTCAAGTATTTAAAACCAATTTTTGAAATGTAAAGTTTAAGTGTCTATGCCAAAAATGCAAATAATAAAATCATAAAAACCCCGAAAACATAGTCTATAAACTGCAACTTTTCCTTGAAACAAAGTTCAAACCAACTACAAAATTTTCCTTTTCAATTCAAACAAACACACGCCAGAAAATGGCTTTCCATTTCACTTCATTTTTGTTGACAAATAGACCTCCCTCATCCTTAAGGAAGTCAAACCTAGAAATGCCTTTCACCAAACAAGAGATAATATTGGAGAAGAATGCTAATCTCGTTTAACATAAGAAACAGAAGAGTAATGACAACAGCATAGGGGGGTCTGTTAGAGAAATCAATGGACTAAATCAAATACTCGGTTTATTAACTTGATCAAGGAGCCCAGAGTGAGAATTTGCGCTCCACATAATAATCAGAGAAGGATACAGAATAACGAGCATATTCGTGCAAGATAAGTATATAATTGTTATGTCAATAGAGCACGACTAGAAACTGAAAGATTTAGAATACTCTCATGTGAAAAGCTATCAACGTTTTGGATCCATCAAATAGGTTCACTTGGTAAACAACTAATCTATCCACGGGTGACTATCTCAAACTCAGTTAGTTTCTCATTTTGCGTACATCTTTTCTAAATCCTTGGTAGTGCTTCTTTGTTTTTGTACATGTAACTCATGCACCTCCTTGGTGCTTTTCGTTTAATATACAATAGTCTTTACAGATTAAAAGAATCTACGCGCAAGGGTTAAAATGACTGAAATTAAAGTGAAGATGTTGGAGGAATACATCAAGGCCTAGCACCTAATTGATCCAAATTGGCCAGTACTGCAGTACATCATCAAAGAAAACCAATGCAAAAATGAAATGGGAAACAAATGTAGCTTACGGACAGTGTCAAGGAAGAGCCGCATTACAGACACGATAGAATTCTCATTTCTCAATACTTCCTATTAGTGTGGGAGTCTTACTGAGCACTAAGTCATATGAGAAGGAAGAGATGGTAAAAGATAGTTTCTCTCTGGACAGTGGTGGAGCTCTAAACAAACACACATCTTAACCAGAAACAAGAAGGAAACTGAATATGGTAGAGAAACAAAAAATAGCACAAAGATTTTAGATGTAACAGTAGAGATAGAATAAAATACATTTTCTTCATAGCATACCTTAATACTCTGTCAATTTCGGTGTCTAAGTAAGACGCAATACTATACCTTTGATCACAAATTATGTGTCAATGTGCATTATGATAAATTATCAAGGGATAATGCACCATCTAACAGTCAACATAACAAGATCGCTAATTGCCAAAGAAAATATTGTGAAATCCAAAAGTGACGATACAACAACAGAAATCAATGATAAATAGCAAACAAAAGGAGAAAGAATAGTTTTCATTGCTCACTATAAATTAAGAATGTTGTTTAAAAAGAGACGGTGCATTGGATTAGCACATTCGAGACACATTTTACCTATTAATGCTCCATTGTTCAAATACCTAAGTTTGCTTCAGCATCCTTGATCAACACGAGCAAGAGAAATCATACTCGAGAAAGCGATACACGAGTCACTCTTGTATAAATGGGCATGTAACATGTTATAGTCAGTACTCATGATCCACTGGATTAAACCTTGCTTGAGCTTGATTCATATTATGAAAAAACACCATTGAACTAACCCTTAGCTTGTTTAGAAATTATGCCAAGCTAGAATAAGTAAATTATGAACTCGACCGGACTGACTTACACCTCTACAGCTCTACTTGACTGTTATCAAAGATTCCTCTCCGATGTTAAAATGAAAAATTCCATTCTAAACGATGTACAATTCTTATACATGTATAAATACACACACACATATACTAACTTCAAAATTTTCTCATATTAACTTATTGAAGAAAATAACCAGACAAGAAGAACACAAAGCCCAACAACAGTCCACCATATATAAGCAATGCCTTTTGACCAGAGGTAAGAGTATTACCACCTAACCCATACTGCTGATTCTGAGCAAACCCAGCAATCTCCACACTCTTGTTATCAAAGAAACTCTTCGCAGCACCGCAAGTCGGACACCTCCAGTCCGCCGGCAGCTGATCAAACGGCAAACCTGGAGGAATGGGATAAGAAGGATCCCCAGCAGCCTCATTATACTTGAACCCACATGACCTACACTCATAAATCCCAGTATTCAACACAGCAAACTTCTCCTCAAGCCTCCTCTTGTCAAATTTCTCCCCTTCCTCCTCCTCCCGCTGCTCGGGTTCTGAAGTGGGTTGTTCTGAGATGGGCTTGTCTTCTTTGGAGACATCAATGGACTTTGGAAGTGAGCTGAGTGATTGGATTTTAATTGGGTTTCTGTAAAAGGAGGAAAGTGAGTGAGATTTGAGGTGAAGAGGTGGGAATGTGAGGTGGGGTTTGGGTTTTGGAGAGGATGGTTGCGTGAGTGAATTAGGTGTGAATGTGAAGGAAGCTCTTGTGGTTGCTGAAGCCATTTCTTCTTTTCTTCTTGAGTTCTATATTGGGATGAATCAATGGTTATGTTTTGGTAAAGGTTTCAGTGAATCAGTAGTCTTGTTGTTTGCTGTGTGGGGAGGAACATGTGGATATAGAGGAACCAACAGGGATCCATGAAAGAGCATATGCCCTTTCAAATTTTGGGAATTGGATAAGGTATAAATATAAACTGATTCTAAATATTTTCTTTATTTTCTCAACTTATATTTTCTTTTTGATTTCTTCCCATTTTTAACATGTATCCAAGATAAAATAAGGCCGGATTAAATTTTTTTTTTTTTTTTGATTTCTCACTCAGCATCTGATACTCGCATTGGCCCCGGATAAAATCCGGATCGAGAAGTTCCACATTGAAGATAAAGCGCTGCCTAACAAAAGCGACTCCATATACGGAGTTGAAATCCGAGATCTCTGGTTAAGGATGAAGGATTACTTACTCCTCCATTACAACCCTGGTTAGTAGGCCGAATTTAAGTTATATCACTTGTAACAATTATTATTAGCTTGTGAACTAAGTATACTTATTTTAGAGATTCACTAATACAATTTAGTAATGGTTCGATTTTAAAAGGGTATTTGGCTAATCTCATATGCTGGTCATATTCAATGTTTAAAATTTATATCATAACTCATTGGTTCTATCTAGTACTTTCATTTCAAAGAAAGTTTTTGAGTTTGTATACGTGTCTACTTAGCTGTGATCGTACTCAGAACTTTAACTATGTTATATTAGCTTCTAGTGACCACATATGATAATATAAAAAAAGAAGGTTATAATTTAAAAAAATAGATTTGTTTCTGATCAAGCTGGCCCCGCCAAATTTCTAAAATTTGCTTATATTGTCGTATAATTTTACATGTAAATAAAGAAAATATAAGGTGAAAACTCAATTTTCTTCGTATTTATAAGTGGAAATGTGGTTTCATATTGAGATTTTTGAGTTTTAGAGTATTATAAAAGTTTTTTGGATAAAATTAAGCCCCATGTACCTAATTTTTGGGAGTATTTGTACTTTGTAAAGCTATTTGTGAGTAGGGGTGTTCATAAAAACCTGAAAAATCGAACCAAACCGAAAACCAAACCAAACCGATCAAAAAAATCGATACTTTTTGGTTTTGTTTGGTTTTGGTTTTGGTTTTGAATTTTCAAAACCTATCAAATTTGGTTTGGTTTTGGTTTTAATCAAAAAAAACCCGAAAAACAACCGAACCAAACCGATTATAGGAGTAGCAATTTCAAATTCATTATTACACCTATATATATATATGTATATTTTTATACAAAGTTTCAAAAATTTAATGGTAAATGTTAATAGTTTGCACTTTTAGTATAGTGCTTTACCTTTACATTCTAGTTTGATTGGTAGTTTTCTTTTGTTAAATGTAAGAATCCATTTCGTGTTAAAAATAATATATTTTTAATTGAGTCCTTAAATTATTCATCACTATTTGATTCAATTATCATCAATATATCTTGGTAAATAATAGATTTCTCAAAGGGCAATTGACTTGATAGTGTTACGTTGAAAATGTGGTCTCCGGAATATGTGTTTGGTAGTGTATGTCTTATATTTAAGAAAAAACCGACAAATAACCGAAAAAACCGAAAAACCGACCGAATCGAAAAAAAACCAACTTAATTGATTTGGTTCTAATATTTGAAAAAATGACTTACTTGATTTGATTTCTTTTTAGAAAAAAACCGATCCAAACCGAACCACGAACACCTCTATTTGTGAGGAAAAATTTACTAAAGGCGCAGACGTGTGCACCACATCACTCCGATCTAGTCAACCATTTCAACCCCAATCCGAGTCGTAGACGAAACAACCTCAAAATTACCAAACCCCCTACATTTCCCCCCTACCCCTGCTCGTGACTCCCTTTACTTTCAGCCTAACCACTGCCGCACCGCACCCTTCTTTACCACTTGTTTTTAACCTTAGCTCACTGAACCCCCCAACCCCACCCCCCTCAACCCTCACTCCCCCATGGCTTCTCTAGATCACCACCAGCATCAACCAGTCTACAACGACGACAACCTCGACGATGACGTCGACGTTGATGGTGATGACGACTCCACTTCCTCCCCTTCCCTCGCCGGCGAGGTTACCATAGCCGTCTCCGGCGTTGGCGTCTCCACCAGTGATTCTCTTGCCCTTTACCCCGATCTTAAAAGACGTCGTCTCGATGATTTCACTATTCCCGTTATTCTGCCAGAGAAGAAGCCGTCGGCGACTTTCGACGACTCTCAACGGAAGCTGTTTCAACGTCTGTGGACTGACGAGGACGAGATTGAGCTGTTACAAGGGTTCCTCGACTACACGACTCAGCGCGGCTTGAACAATTCGTCGACGCCGCAGCACCATTATGACACAACGGCGTTTTACGACCAGATCAAGAGCAAATTCCAGCTGGATTTCAACAAAAACCAGCTGGTCGAGAAGCTCCGGCGGTTGAAGAAGAAGTACAGGACTGTGATGAGCAAGATGGGATCGGGTAAGGAGTTCGTCTTCAAGAGCGCTCACGATCACGCCACTTTCGAGATCTCTCGCAAGATCTGGACTAATGTAGGCTCCGCTGTCCGCGGAGGCGCCAACGGCGTTTCTGGCGCTGTCGTTCTCTATGCCCCGCCGGAAGACGGTGGATTGGATGATGACGATGCTCACGTTAACCCTAACCCTTATGCAAATGATCTCATTGATCATAGCCCTAAGTTTAACCTTAACTCTAACCCTAACGGAATTGACATTAAAACTCCGAGATCACGAAAGCGATCTCCAGCTGCATCTACAGAAGCAGTTAAAGTTGAGCAACAGCCTTATCAGCCATCCGGTGGGGGCAGCACCACTGTGCCATTGGCAGCCGCGCCCGTGGCTGAGGTTGCAGCCACAGCCACAGCCACAGCCACAGCCGCAGTGGCTGCTTCGATACCTAGCTTGATTGAGGAAACAGTGAGGAATTGTGTATCACCAATTTTCAAGGAGTTGTTGAACAGTGTGGCGAATTTGAATGGGTCTAGCAGAGGGTTTGGATTTGGAGGAATGGGGATCAGTCCGATCCCATTAGGGTTCGGGGGAGGTGCAATGAGCATGGAAATGATGGGGGACGAGAAATGGAGGAAGCAACAGATGTTAGAGTTGGAAGTGTATTCCAAGAGATTAGAGCTGGTTCAAGATCAGATCAAAGCACAATTGGAGGAGCTGAGATCAATGGGAAGTTAGTTGTTGATGACAATAATAAAAAAGGTTGCTTTTTATGTATACATTTCTCAAATAATTCTAGCTTTGATAGTTTTATCAGATTGTTGATGATATAATGGCTGATAGTTGTAGCATTGGATACACTGTGAAGCCGCTCATTAGGTATTTGAACTTTTTTGGGGTTGTTGAATAATGAGTTCTAATTGTTTACAGCCCTGTTATATGCTCTGTTTGTTTGAAGACTGTTGCAACAATAGATGCTGTCTATTTTGTATATAGAAATGAATTGATAGAAGCCTATTGTTCAGTTAATGTCAGTTCTTGATGTCTTCGTTTGAGAACTTTTAAGTTCAGCTGTGACGAGGGACCAGTGTAGCTAGTAGCCGATTCAATTCTGCAGAATTTATTGCCATGATTGCCATAATGTTACTCTGGAGCAGACGAAGCTCGTTATTCCAACAAGAATCTCAAAGAAAGACTGCAATTAAAATACAAGTAGTGCGTGTTACATCTACGCTATGATGAATCTCCTACGGAAAACTATCTTGCGGCCATTCAAGACACCAATAAGTGAATGTTCTTTTGAGTAAAGCATTAGTTATGGCGAATTTCCAATTGGACCGCTCCAAGATAAATGAGATGGGTAAAAATTCATTCACTTAGTGTTGACATAAAATCATATCAACATACCATGTTAAGTGATCCAGTGAATTTAAGGCGCGCATTATTAAGTAATCATAGTTAAGTGAAGTTTTTATGTTCATAAATACAAAGCATGCATTATTGGTTTGGTGTAAATAGTTATTTATGGTTTGAAGGAACATATTTAAATCAGTATTGCGTGTTGTCAAAGGCTTATTTAAGGCGCGTTTAATCCTTGAAGCTCAGAAAAGCTCAAGGAGGACGCTTCGCCTCACTTAAGTTGCGCTTCAGTGTAGGCAAGGCACCAAAACATGCCCCTTATTGTCCACGAGTTCTATATTGAATGGAGCAAAGCTAGACTACAAATATAATCTACAAATAGGTGTATTAGTTGTGAAGGCAAAAAGTATGAATGAATTTGTTAGTTTATCTTAAACTACATACATATTGTTATTTTTTTCTTGCATTGCGCCTTTTTTTATAACTAAAAAGCCCACACTTAAATTGCGCTTAAAGTCCCAATTGAACTAGAGCACTTTTTAGAACTTTTTGCTTTTGACAACACTGATTTAAACATTTATTCCCGATGCTTGAACAATTATGGAGTGGAATCATTGTATTATTGGTTGTCATCTCTGTTCCCACTTCAAAATTAGTACTTAAATCGTTATAGGCTTTACACTACCCAGAAGAGCCTCTGCCCATGTGAACTCCATCATATCAAGACTAATTCAGTTTAATGAGATAGCACCAGCACAGAAATCTAGTTACACCAGTCGACACCAAGACCCCCACATCCATCGAAGAATCAGCCCTCAAGAATTGTTATTAACCAAAAGAAAAGGGAAAAAGAAAGAGGCTTGTCGAGCTGACTGGTATCCACATGTTAAGTTCAACAGATACATACAATTTGAGAAAATGAGTGTCTTAGAAATATTATTCAGAGAAAGCATAATTAGTTTATCAACATCAGGATCAGTAATGAAATCAGATGACTGTAGTTTTCTTCCCTTACAATTTACGTCTTCTCTCAATAGATGGTAAATTTTTCTTTGGTCTTCTCGAATACTTGTTCAGCTATAAGGGCCCCCTTACCATCAGCTTTCTTGATCTCTAACTGAGCCTTCTGATAAAATCCAGTGCCTCTAAGGGCATCCGCAATGAAATCGTCAAATCCAATAGCAATTGCAGCTTCAGCTTTGGCTCCATATACCAACCTCTGTGCAAAGGACACAGGTAGAAGCATCAGCATTGTGATAATGAAAAGGAGGAGCCTGTTCAGTTCAAAAGAATAATAA